CCCCCCACCTCTATGTAGCTTTAAAGCGTGTTTGCACTCTATTTTAATCTGCTAAAAGAAAGTCTTGTCTAAGAGCAGACACCACCAGATGTATGCTATTGCCGATAATTAAAGAAATATATATTGTGTGCCCCTCTCTGATATATTTTTACTCTAATAGAGGGGTCTGACTTTCCCTGACTGTATGGCTAAGCCCTGCTACCTGCTATCCCCCTGTCCAATAAGAGTGCCCATAATGGCCACTGAGGCAGTCTCACTGGTCAGTAGAATTGCAGTTGTAGGGCTTAGCCATTAAGTAAAGGCCCTATAACAAAGTCTAAAGGTGATAGCAGCCACCTTGCTGTAGGTATTAAGCAAGTTTTAGCAAGACGCAAGCATTGCTGATGCTTCCTAAAGCCTAATATAAATATACCCAAGCATCTACAAAAGGTTTTTATCAACATACATTTATGTTTATATAATAGTGACTGCAGCTTCACAGTTGAATGAAGTCAAAAGCAAAATTGTACTTTTCCTTCCTTGCTATTTTATTTTAGGAATTTGTATTCACTACACTGCATTTAGGACTTTTATTTTTACAATATACAAGGGGTACAACATTTGCATAGACTCACCATACCAGATTTTAATTAATGCTGAAGAAAATCTATTTGACTGATCATGCAATTGTCCCATGTATATGAGTAAAGTCAAACTAAGCTGTTAGGAAGGATCACTGCAGTACTCAGCACTTCATAACTGCTAAATGGACAGGAAAATGATATAGTTACCTACAAGATATATCTGTCTTTGGCTGACTTTAATCATATGATGTGCACAGGGAGAAGTTGATCTTTCAGATGGAATCTGTGAAAGTAAATTAACAGTTAGGAAAAAATATATAATTCATAGGAAAAGTGTATCAAGTTAATTCTGCTATATTTGCCCATCTTTACTTCAGTTTATAAATGTATTTTAACAGTACCATACCTGTGTACATTTGTTGCCTTTTGACTTTATATTCTAGATAATATTCAGGGAGCTTTCTCCTTCTGAGCGTGTTTACTTTATATTTATTAGGTATCAGGTCTGAGAATTCTGGCTTCTGTACATTTTTTTAGTTAGTACTTGATACAATTCTTCCAGGAAATAAAATACTTAATGGAGAACTATGAGGCGAGTGAAAATCGCTCATCCTCATAGTTTGAGCCGACGTGTGACAATGAAACTGTCACACGTCGTCTCAATAGATCGGGAAGTGAGCGAACACATACCGCCGCTCGCTCAGTTCTCACACATCTCCCTGCAGAGAGAAGTGACTGTCAGTCACTGCTCCACGCAGGGATTCCCCCCTCCCATCTCCGATCCTCCAGCACTGACTGAAGGAACATACGGGGGAGGGGGTGGGTACAGCTGGCTCTGCCTCTAGATAGGCAGAGCCAGCTGTCACTCACGCAGCTGGGTGGATCTCAACAGCATTGTCGGGATCCGTCCCATCTGCGGCGATCACAGTATACCGCAAGCTCTAGCTCGCAATATACTGAGCTTTGGATCACAGGAGGAGGTTAGTATATGTCCTCCCATGACCCTTAAGAGAACTATGGGGAAAAACACTTACCGCATAGATTTCTTTTAACTCTTGCAGTAGGCCCCCTCTCATGGCAAGAGTCAACTGCTCATTTTGCCTAGCTTATGATGACTAAGGTAATATACTTACATTATTCCTGGCATGTGGGCAGGCCCTCTGCAACCTTACATATAATGCAGGACTTCTTGTTCTGCATTGTATGGGATGACATCAAAAAGCTGCAAAGGATTGGGCAGCAGCAAAAAAAATTCCTTTGGGGGACCAGCTTTACAGCATAAGGAAGCCTGCAGGAGTGAGGAATATGATACGTATATCCCCTTATTAATCATACCTAGGTGGAGTGTGATCCACTGCAAGGGTACAGTGAACATCCAATTCTACAGTTAAATGGATATACAGGATTTGAGAAACATGCCCCAAAAGTGTAATTGGATATTAAAATGCAATGGTGACACATGCATTTGAAGTCACAATCTGCAGATACATCAGAGGCCAATCTTTTACACCTGGCTACAGTCATTTCATTAGTGTCTCACAATCCAGTCCATAAAGCCTCCTCTTCATTTCCCTCATCTTCCTCTTTCTCAGCTTTGAGTGTTGTTCAGTTACTCCATTAGTCCTATTAGAATGTAAATTATGTTAACAGACCCACTTTAAGCAAAAAAATGTGGCAGATATGGACAAAGGAAACAATGCTACTGCAATTGTATGGTTATTATACCCTACAGGAGTTATTTATGTTCATATTTTTACATTCTAACATATAGCTTCATCAACCAGCACAGACATCGGTGGGTCCAGCAACATCACAGGCCAACCTTTTGCACCTGGCTCACAATCAGGCATCAATGTCTCAAAGTCCAGTGCGTCAAGCTTCCTCTTCTTCTTCTTCATCTTCCTCTTCTTCAGCTTTGAGTGTTGGTCAATTAGTCAGCAGTAAGTATTGCTGTTCTATTTACCATTTTCTCTGTCGTGATGCCTTTGCATGTGCTCTTTGCTTGTTTCTTGAAGTGCTCTTTGTCTTGCATTCTTAAGCTTGCCTTTAGAAAAATCATATCAAGCATAATAATTTTAGATGAATTATAGGTTACATCTACATATTAAGTTCACAATTATACTTATTATATTATAATCTAAAACATCATATGTTGACCTTACCATACTGCAATAAAATTAAATACCATCCAATATGCACACTTAGAGTAAAATAATCAAAATATGATAGACTGACTGTGACCATGACATTGTTACATTTGGAGAATTCTCTTTGAATTTTTCAGAATGTCTAGAACATCTATTTTAGAAAGTGCTAGCTAGTCGCAGCCATGTAAGGAAAAATCTATGAAATTAGAAAAGTGGGGAACATATGCTTAAAAATATAGCATGTCTTTAGAAATCCTGATAATGTATATGTATGTTGAATGTGTACGTTTTCAAAAGAGGTGATCTGCTAGATGTTACAGTTGGGGTTTATATGATGGGATCGATTTACTGAAGGCACATAGATTGTTCCTTTTGCAAGGGACTTTTTCCCTAACTTAGTAAATGAGGCTAAGCTCTGCTGACTTCCATCATCCCATTATATGCAAGAAAAAATACTGTTTTCTTTTTATTTCCCTTGCAATTTTCCATATGATTGGGTATTCTTTGTAAAATTTGAAAGCGGAGGGAATGTGGTAAAAATAATTTTGCAAACAAAATTGGATTTTATTGTGTTTATGTACACTACAAATATTGTATCACATAAAAAAATAACAACTATATTTTTTTTATCCAACACATCCCCTGCATTTAAAAATATATAATATGTTTGGGGTTTTGGGTAATCCTCAGGCCAAATATGTGCATTTTGGAATGTGTGCAAAAATGTGAAACTTAATCTGGCAATGAAAAGGTTGAATGAGCTGGCACACCAAACCAATGGTAAAAAGTCAAACAGGGTTATTCACAAAAGGGTGAAGAGTTTGGAGAAGGCAGGAGAAGTGAAGAATCTAGGACAACATAGCTGAACTGGAAAGTGAGCTGAGTTAGAGAATGTTTCCAAATGAGCTATTTTGGCCTTGAATGTTCATTTCTCCTGCCTTCTCCAAACTCTTCACTGTTTGATGATAAACCATGCAAGTATGTTTATTTATTAACCAAAATATCCAAACACAAGCCTACACATTTTATGTGTTCTAAAAACACCCCTTTCATCAGGGTTTACAATGTCAGAATGAGAGAACACACCCGGACTGGTGAGTTTTGTTGAATACTTGGACATGTACTTGGATTGCTCCAGCAGCTGGTGTGATTTCCTGGGAATACCATCCCTGGTTCCAGGAGGGAGAGATTGTTTTGTGTTTTAATTCTTAAAAAAATAAAGGAAATAAAAATATAGAAGAACTGTCTCTTTGTTAAAAGCATAGTTTCAGAACAGTCACTTCTTGTTTAGATTTGACATCTAAAGCCTGGTTAATTTTAAATGCATTCAACTTTATTCATAGGGTGAATGTTACAGTAAGCACCTTTTCCCATTGAAGAATAGATGTTGAATGTCAGGAAGATTATTTTTAGTGTAACAAATGTACAAACATATATAGGGAACTATGCTTTATAAATAGGAATGTTACACTTAAGAAAACTTCATATATATAATGATGTGATGATTTTTCATATCGACGCTCTTCCAAAAATCTATCAGTGTATGGTCAGCTTAAATACACAAAAAACAGCAACAGGTGCCAGAAATAGGGCTATAAAATAGTAACTAGCTGGTATAGAATGCCCTTTGTTTTACACTTCATTGTTTCCTCAGGCTTCGATAAATGCTGGGTCTGTGGGCCAGCGCCGGGAGATATCCCACACATATTTTAGACCTGTCCTGTACTGGAGACCTTCTGGGCTCATTACCACACTACTAACCAAAAATTCACTGATTGCACCATTCACAAAAACCCAGCCTTTTCCTTCTGCACCACAATTGTATTACTCTGCAGATGTATAAGTGTTCTGTGGTTCAGCATCTGGTGAATGCCTGCTATGTGGAAGAGATCTTCCCTCCCTGCCATAAAACAGAACCTGGTTCTACTGGTTAGAGTTTATCTCTTCTCTTCTTCTGATATTACTGCTCTGCGTATTAATGTACGCCTTTGCTGGCTTATATTTCTATGTTCTGTTCTTCCAAAATGTAGTTAATATGCTAAAGAATATATATAGCTATATATAGATATATATCTATATATGATCTGAGTTCCATTCCACATTTATAAAATAATTAGTTTGTTGAATTGGAAATGTTTTTCGTGTTTGTCTTGTATGTTGGGAACATTTACCCTCACTAATAGCTCTAGTGACATGTAAAAAGTTTAGGCCACTGTTACATTATCTCACACAGATATGTTTTATTTTCTCCTATTTTATTCTCTGTGCATGTGGTTGAAGATAAAAATACATATTTACAGTACTTATAAATCCATCAATATATAATCTCAAACCATATGGCGTCAGCTGTTTAGATCACTTTTTAACTAGAAAGAACATGCAGTTGGGTGGGATAGTTTAATAAACACTTCAGTAGTAGGCTGACCTTATTTCCTTGAGCCCAAAAGGGGACATTGGGGTGGCAAAAATGGGATAGTTTTAATATTCTGTATTCATGAAAAGTAAGATGATAACAAACGTTTTATGACAATACAGCAGATGTGTACAGCATAAGGTTTTGATCAACATGAATTTATATACTGTTTCAGATTCGGAGGCAAAGAGTCATGTCCCCAGGGCACCATACATGTCCCCAGGGCACCATACATGTCCCCAGAGCACCATACATGTCCCCAGAGCACCATACATGTCCCCACAGCACCATACATGTCCGCACAGCACAATACATGTCCCCAGAGCACCATACAGGTCCCCAGAGCACCATACATGTCCCCAGAGCACCATACATCTCATCCGGGAGGACTCTGCAGGCAGTGGCTGTGCTGTGGAGAGTTGATTGGCTGGATTCCATCTCCAGGGCTTTACTGTGCTGTGTGTGGAGCCGCCCATGGCTGTGCCTATGCCGGGAAGAAGGAGGAGCTGTAGAAACAGAGAGGCACTGCAAAGGACAGCTACTGCCAGGTCCCTAGCAAGCTGACAAGGAACTCAGCAGCTGCTGCAGTTTAAAAATTTAAAGTGCCAGAATTGGGACATCCCTAGAAAACAGGACACAATTAATTTTTTTAATGAAACAATGGGATGTGGGAAAAATGTCTAAATAACGGTACTGCCCCATTTAAAATGGGACATATGGTCAGCCTCTTCAGTAGGCAATCCATCTAGCCAGTGCAAAAGCCTAACTATAAACTGTTTTTAACATTTGGTTTTAGGTTTTTATTGCTTACATTTTGTTAGTATATATGAAGCCACACTGCTATGTCAAGACTCCTCTGCAAAGTGTGGTCTTTAACACCAATCTATGTGAATATCTAAACTGTGGCTTATAGGTATATAGCAATTCATATAGTAAAAGTAGGTTTACCTTGAGGGTAGCGTCTTCCTGCTTCTAGCTACAACAACACAGCAAAGGTCTAGACTTACCCACAGGAGTTGAAGAAGCCCAGTATTTGCCTTTATCAAATACAAAAAAATAGAAAGTGGCAGTCCTTTAATTTATAACTAACAAAGGAAAATGCAAGTGGTGTTTAATGTCTGTTTGAGTGTTTTTTTTCTTACTAGCTATGGTTATTGAATATATTTTACCTATGATGAGTGCTGATGATGTGTCATTTGTAAACCACAGAAACAAATATTCAGTGGCATTGGATGCAAAATAGAAGTTACATGATGTTTTCTTGCTTTGCTTACATAATGGTAATAAGATTCTACATTGACTACAGTCATTGTATTTTTAAGTGTTACTGAAGGATACACTTACAAAGAGAGGTATTGCATGGTATGGTGAATTTGTTACCCTAGGGAATATAATTAGGGATGAGCTTCGCGTTCGAGTCGAACCTATGT